CTGGAACCTCTGCTCAGCAGCATTATAGGTGACACATTCCCTAGCTGCAGTGTATCCAAACAGATTGTTGTAAGGCCTTGAATAAACATTTTCCAAGTCTCGCTCTGAAGCAATTTACATCAAACAGCATTTATTTCATGGGTGCCAACTAGTTTTTGCGTGTTACTGACAGAGCAGGCAATGTTTTCTATCAGATCTTCTTGGCTGTAAACAGAATACCTTTTAATAATGTGGCAGGGACCTGACTAAATGCAATATTTATGGCTCATGCATATGAAAGTCTCATAGTTTGCTTATAAAGAGCAAATGAATCCTGCAGTTAATGCCTTAAATGAATAAGAGAACAAGGACAATTCTAAATATTTCTCTAGAAGCATACCTTCCCATACGTTACCATTCCTCTTGTAATGTGAAGGATTGATGCTTTTCTCTGTACCTGAGGGCAAAGCTCCTCAAAGGTGGCCCATCCATTGGATTTCAAGAGGTTAGTGCTAGGGCCAATACAGTCAAAGAAGAAAGTTGGACTAAAGAGTTCAAAACTTACCAAAAGGGGCAAATTCTTTAACTACAGTAAAATCCTGAGCTCACCCATTGATATCTGAGACAAAGTTAATCTGTGCTGAAAGGGAGCAGAACGAGGTCTTGGTCTTGTGGCAGCAATATATGGTAAGATGCGTGTGCTAAGCACCTTCAAGCTGAACCTGGTCCAAACCCCAGCTCTGCAGAATGGAGATGGAAATTTCATGGAGCTAGGCTTCAGTTTGAATATTTTTGTTCCTTTTGCTTTCACACAAATTACCAGAGTTCTAAAAACAGCTTCGAACTCTCATTTCTATTGGCACGGCTGCTATCGATCTTGTCCAGAAAAGGGATGGAAAGACATGACAGAATTGGCAGCCGTCCCGAGCCATGGAGTCGGGATCTCAGTCCTGATCCAAGCTTTGCTAATGAACAGGAGTTTTTTGTGTCTGGAAGATTGGTTTCTAATCTTTTGTACACACATGGAAAATGCGTCAGGCTTTTTTCTCAGTGGATAAGATCTGTTGGATCTGGGATGACCAGCTTGATCAGAAAGCTTGGGGGAGAGTGGCTGAAGCAGCTTCAGCTGGGGAGTGGAGGGGCTTCCAGCCATGGGAACCAATGAGGCAAAGGATGTTCCCAGCTCTCCCACACACAGCACAACTCAAATGTTTCCTTTAGCTTTTTTCCAGAACAGTTACTCTTTTGATAGGATGAGAGGGAATGGCCTCATTTTGTGCCAGGGGAGGTTCATGTTGGATATTAGGAAAAAATTATCTGAAAGAAGCAGTGTTGGGTACTGGAACAGGCTGCCCAGGGAGGTGGTGGAGTCACCATTCCTGAAGGTCTTCAAGGAACATGTAGAGGTGGTAATGAGGGATGTGCTCAGTGGGCACTATTGGTGGTAGGTGGAGAATTGGATTAGGTGATCTTAGAGGTCTTTTCCACCTTAATGATTCTATGATTCTATGATTCTGGGTTGCTCAGTCAGGTGGAGCAGCTATAGAACTTCATAAAACTGATCCCTAGGAGCTCCCCTAACGTTTGTTTTCAAGCAAATGTTGCACCTAGGAATGAAAGCAATTTTACTGTTTGCAGTTTTTTAATTTGCGGCTCTTCAGTCTCTCCAGTCAAGAAACCAAATGAATATCATGTGGTTGAGCCTGCCAATACAATCATTATTATTAAAATCAACTAACAAAAATATCACACTGTACAATTAGCAAAAAGACAACAGCTTGGCAAGCACTTCTCCAAACTGTTTAGTAAATACGTTCCAGCAATGAATGTCTTAGCAGAAAACAGGAGAGAAAGACCACAAATAAAATCAATATTATTACACATATTATTTGCCGCAAGTAATTTGAAAACTTCTGCCTTCATCCAAAACATTTGTTTTAAATTATCCGCTGACATATTCTGGAAATAACTATGATAGACTATTTTTAAAGTAGTAGTACACAAAGGAGTTTCTTCTTTATGTCCTTTTTCACATCGGCAGTTTCTGATGTGCTAAAATAGACTCAGATAAGGGTTTGTGTGTGTGAGTGTGTGTGTGCGTGCCACTTTCACATGTTTATTTTCAGTTTTGGACTTGAAAATTGTGTGCTGTGGGGAGCAGGTGGTTTCCAGCATTTGAAGAGATCTGCATGTTAAATGAGTTGAGCTTTGCATCGCAGGGAAGTATTGCTACATGTAATTTCATGACATTCCTTTCAGGCATCTTCTTGGGTTCCTTTCCAAAATGCTATGAAAAAGTGATTTGCTTTCAGAAAGGAATCGCTCAGCTAAAAATAATAAATATGTTATAGCTAATGTGGAAACTGAAAATGTCAGAGGTGATGTGGAAAACATCGGAGCAGACTGAACTGAAAGGATAAATGATCCTAAGGAGTCAAAGGAAGCTGCTGCAGAAAATCCAACTGTTACCAGTCGGGACAGTTTGGAAACCACAGATGAAAGATCCCAGCTTGTGTGTAGGCTTCAGGAGAGCTGAGACACCTTTTGTTGGCTTGAGTGAAGGAGCCAGCTGCTGTCTGTACAATATGTCCTCACGCTGCCCATTTCTGGGTGAGGATCCAAGTGTCAATAGTGCCCCAAGCCCTGCAGACTTGCTAAAGGGTGCCGAGGAGATTTGTGCCAACTGGGAATACCATGTTTTTGTGGCTTCCAATTTGAGCACTTTGCCTGATGTTCTCTGTAAGTTTCCTTATAGTCATCTCAGCAGGGATTTCCTTGGTGGAAATGCAAATAAAGAACTGCACTTTGCACACTGCTGTTTGTAACTGTCTGAAAGGCCTGACCCCATCAGCATCTGGTATTCACAGGTCCTTCATTGCTGGATGCACTGTCATGTGTGTGTGTGTGTGGTGTTTTCCTGGTTTCACCACCAGATATCATGTTGGGGAAGGGCTGAATGTTGGCTCAGATGGGTGTCGTGTGCTTTTGAGAGCATTCATCTTACCAGATCTCCCAGATCAATTCTCCAGTTTGGTTACTGAAATGAAAATTAAATATCTTACCCACCAGGAAAACTAATTTGGAGATACATTTTTAACCCCAGAGCAATCTTTTACCTACAAACTTAATTGTATTCCTTTAAGAAGATATAATTAAGTATCCCCATGGCAGACCATCAGTTTTTACAAAGCATTTCTAGAGCAGATAGACATCATTAGTAATACAATTCTTGGTGGTGCAGGCAGGAAAATAAATTGGTTGTCATTGGGACATCATCAATATAATGAACATCTGACATGTAGACTGTCTGTTTCAGATGAAGCAGACATAGATGAGGAGAAAAATTGTTAATAAGAGCAGCAGACAAGATGTTGCAGACTATAGCTGTCTCATGAAATGTTGTTTGCTGCCAACACATCGCAGTAAGGAAAGTCTGGTCGACCCGTGAACAGCTGGGGAAAATAGAGGGAAGAGGCACTTTCAGGTATATCCTGAGAAGCTCTGCTGAATCATGGAGTTTTAGTCCCTAACATTTTTTTTTTTTAATTGCTCAGTAGTTCCTTTCATTCTATGGAGGAAATTGGTAGTTTGCCTGTCTTGTACTTTCATTTACCCCTACAACAAAATGGAAGCTTTTGTTTTTGAAACTATCCTTTCTCCCAGAGAAACCAGTAGCTAACGTTGTCATGGATGGACACAAAACAGAGCTGGTTCAAGTTCTGCAAAGCCTGGGAGAAATTTTGATTCGCAGAAATGAATATCCAAATGCCCTCCATGGCCTCAAGGATTTCTGGCTGTGTCTGCAGGATGCTGGGGAAGAATTCCTGTGTTGAAAACAGCTGAAAACATTGCAGGGTAGTGTCCTAGCTCAGTAGTTGTTGGTCTCACTCATCTTTGGTGGATTTAAGTGTGTGGTGGTTGTTAAGAGTAGGTGCTAATTTCAAGAGGAACCAGGTCCATTTCCAAGCAGGCATATGACTGCTTCTCTGACTCACAAACGTTTGGGAAGTGAATTCAGCTTTTTTCAAGTGTTCTCTTCCATTATTTGTTAACAAGTCCAACTGGTACCTATTTATTTTGCATGACAGGTGATCTAAATCACACAATATACTTTCCTTGTTTTCAATGACTGAAATGCACCGATGGAAAAAAAAATTCAATTTATTTGCTTGGAAGAGTTTTGAATGAAAGGCTGCTCATGTGAAATGCATTAGCAAAGGGATCCCTGTGTTGGAATGAGTGTGAGCTGACACCCCACAAGTCAGACAAACAGCAAGAATTCATTACGGAGCACCTTTATGAAACGAGAGCAGCTTGGAGCACTGCAAATATTGAGCTGATTAAGAAGCATAAATGACCCTCACCATGGAACTCCTGAAGGAAGCATCATAGGCAGCACGAAAACTTACATGGAACCTGAAAGAGGTAACCAAGCCTCAACAGGATCAGAGTTTAGGAAAACTCCTTACTCCCCGGTACAAACCCATCACAGTCATCTGGGCCCAGACTGTTAACGTAGCAGTGTCAGGTGAAATGGATTTCTCCCAAAGTTTCTGATGCTTTCTGTTGTTTGACAGGCAGGAAATACCATCAGAGGCGCCTTCCTTGCTGTAGTTCATCATGTTCAGAGTGAGCAGGAATCGGGAAGTGCAGAGGCAGTGTGAAAATGAAAAACCAGGAGGAAAGGGAGCCGTGTTGCCGATGCCATTGAACAGGGCAGTTTGGGAAGGGGCTGCTGTGTTGGAATGTCGTGGGATGGAGGCTCGCCCACTGATTCCCATTGGTCCAGTGCAGGCATAGCATTCCACTGTCAGTAAGAAATGCAAAAGGATGAGAAGTGTAATTGAAATGAGGAGCTGTATTGCACTTCTCAGCTGTACAAAGAATTTTCCTTGTAAGGATTCCAAATCAGTAACATTAATCTTGATGCTGTTGTTACTCTGCTAGGTACATGACATCCTGGAAAAGCTCACTGTCCATTGATTGCTCTTTGTTTAATTCAGTTTGTTTTTGTTTTAGAGGGTCCTAATTAACCACTGGGCTACCTGCCTGCCTCATTGCTCTGGAGTGACAGCACAGCAGTGCTCCTCTCTGCTGACAGCTTGAGCTGTGTAAGGCCGTGTTTTTTGGCTGTAGCATAGGCAAATGGAGAATTCTTTGTGTGCAGGTCTGAGGCTGCATATACACGTGTGAACTCTCTAAAAGCAAACAACCAGCTTTTGTAAAGCCAAATTCCAAGCAAGCAACCAGCTCGGCAGCTGTGAAGGGTGTCTGTGTGTTTTTATTGTTGATAAAAGCACAACCCACAGTGACTCAAACCTCAGGATGTGGTGGGAAATGGGGAAGAAAAAAAAGATAGAGAGTGAGAGAGAAAGGGGAGAATAATCCTTGTCAGGACAAGGGGTTCAGACATGCCAGATTTCCTTGGCGCAGACATTCCTGTCACGAGCCTTGCAGACGTTTCATGTTAGATTCCTTGCTTCCTTTTCACCTGGCACCAATGGTGTAGTGATGATTTCGAAGGCAAGATGGCCAAGTGTGGGCAGGAGCCCAGGTGTGAGGGCTGTCACCCATCTGTCATCATCTGGCATCTGCTCGCTGTGACAAAAGCATTGATGACCATTTCTGTTCCATCTCCCCTCTGCTCCAGTCCCTTTCTGAGTTGTTCTGGGAAAGCAGAAGGCAGCTGATGGCAGGATAGGAATTTGGTGTGGAGAAAGAAGAAATCTGGTTTGGAACCTGAATGCTAAAGGGATGCATCAATTTCCTATCAGAGAGGTGAAGTGCTCAAATTTGCTATGCTGCTTTGACTTGAAAGGCATTTACCCAGATGTCAAGACTACTAGACATGCTGTTTTAAGATAAGGTTGAGCTTTTGAACTTGTTCTGGGGCCCCAGATTGCACTCCACCAACTCCAGCCATGTGCCTTTGGTACAGTTTTTGCTGAAGCTGTAGGACCCACTTGGTGCCCTCAGCCTTCCTCCTGTGATGCTGCTGTCAGATATTTAGCTATGGGATCACTCACACAGGCATGAGGAGGAAATCAAAGAGCTATAGAGTTCCTTAAGGTTGAAAAAAAAAAAAGTCTGACTGTCAACCCACCCCCACTGTGCCCACTGACCACATCCCTCAGTGCCACTTCCACACAGTTCCTGAACACCTCCAGGAACAGTGACTCCAGCACCTCCCTGAGCAGCCTGTGCCCATGCATCACCGCTCATTCTGAGAAGAAGCTGTCCCACCACAGGGAGCATCTAATAGCAGAACTGGTCTTTTCCTGCTGAACATTTGTTTCTTTCACTTATAGTGAAAGAAGGGCGCAGCCACAATAGGAACAAACTGAGAAAAGAACCATGTCAGGGCTGAAGAAAATAACAACTGGAGCACATTGTGTGAAGGCTGGATGGGCTTGTCTCTAGCATTTACTGATGGAAGTAATGCAGGATCTCCTGTCAGCTCGAATCAACCTGTTGAGTTTGCAGTTGCTGATTCAGCAGTGAGACACAGTGCCCGCTCTCCAGGGAAGATTTACAGAGCTTAACCTGAGCTTCTGCAGCACTGGTTTTCACATTGCTGATGGCTGAGAATCCAGGAGCTAACTCAAACTAGGAACATAAAAGGTAACTAAGGAAAACAAAGCTTTTCTCGGTAGACTGACATTGCCACATCTCCTCCATCAGGTCATTAGAGAGCCCTGTGAAAGGAGGAAGATTGAATATCTCATCTGCAGCCAAATCAAGCTGCCATGCATCATCATCACTGGTGGAATGTTCAAGAAAAGCGTAGATGTGGCACTGAGGGACATGGTTAGTGGGCATGGTGGGGATGGGTTGATGATTGGACTAAATGAGCTTAGTGGTCTTTTCCAATCTTAATGATTCTGTGATTCTATGATAATTGCAGTGGTGCCATCAGTACTTGTCAGTTGCTGACAATGAAATAAGCCATGTGCTGTGGTCATTACTAGCTGAGATTTCAGAGATACTAAGCTCTTCCAGGGATTGCAGGCAGTAGGCACGGGGAGAGGCCACCTACTTCTTTGCTCAGCTCTAGGAGCACTGAAACAGAGCTTTACAAAGCAAAATATGAAATATTCATTTGAATGTCAAACATTCAAGTGTTCCTGTGTTCACATATGTGCACATGTGTGCAGACATAACGTGTATTATATCAATGTGTTAGTTAATTGGTGCATTCTCTAAATGGCTGTGGTTTTTTAATACTGCTATTCCCTTATCTCCACAAATGAATAACACTGTTAGATCTGATCTCTAATTATATTCTGAAGGGCAATAAACCCCTGAACCTTTCTGGATGTTCTTAATTAGATTGAAATCCAAACAAAACAGCCAAAGGAAAACAACCGGAGCGGTTGCTGGAATCTTGCTACACATTTATTGGTGATTGGGAACAGAATTGAGTGAACCAATCACTGAGAAGATTTCATGATTTGAGACCTTTCCAACTTTTCTCTGCATCCTGAAAATGATCTTTGGTTTTTTTTTTTCACGTTTATATTCATTGAATTTTTTTGATACGTGGTTTGTATAAGCACGTTCCAACACACTGGTTGCAAAGCAGTTCTTAGCTGCATGCAGGACTGTCAGCACTTGTTGTGTAAATCACATCCTTTATATAAGCTGCACACATTTGTACACTGACAGCTGAAGGCACCATAGAACACAAGGTGAAAATTCTGGGACTTTTTAGGGGTCAAACTGCTACGTGCCTGCAGTGTCACACAGACGTGAGGGAACGTTGTGACTTAGTGTTACTTTAATGAGAAGGAATGAGTATTCTTTACATAAATCTATTTTCTGAATTGTGATGCTTTAGCTCACTTCTGATCTTGAACTGAGTGTTGAAAGATATTTTACCTTTACTTATTTCTTGTTCTGGTGATTTTCATAGGTACAAAATAACTCCTTGCTGAAATGCAACTATCTCTGGGGTGGAGCGCTACTCCTCGACTCCTCCATAGAAGCAAAACAGATCTGGGACACAGAAAAAAATGCAAAATCAGGATTGGATGGAGAGTGAACTTGGGAGTGAACTTTCCGGAAAGTACATGAGAGGGATCAGAGCTCATTGCACGTGAACTGAGCAGCAGTGAATAAAACAACTTACAAGCTACGTCAGTTCTGGGAAACAAAAGCGTTTTACAGAAGATTTCCTCTTGTTTGAGTTGTGATATCCAACCGTGATGGATAATCACTTCTTATCCTGGTTGTTTTGTTGCTTCTGAGACATGGAGTTTTTACTTCAAGCTTGGTTAAAGACTAAAAAGAGGGGACGCAGCTGTGTCTCAATTAACCCTTAGCTCAGCAGTAGGGTTTTCTCAGGCTGCTTTGAGAAGAAAAAACATAGTTAAAACAACAGAAAGTTTTAACTTTTGCCTCGAGGGCTGGAAACCTATTTTTCAGGCAGCTTAACTTCTGTCATTCTCAGGGTGTCTCTTCAAATTAGCATCAGACAGTGAAATAAATAGGAAATATTGCCCAAGAGTCCTTGGTTTTGTCAGAAAGGACTTTGATAAAAGTAGAGGGGAAGAAAAAGAAAGCCTGAATCATGAAGGTCTGCCACGTCTTTTTGCTGCTGTGAAATCAAAACTGACTGAGTTTATGGTCATTCAATTATTACAACCAGTGTATGAGAAAACCAATAATTTGGTGATGCCGGGTTAAATGTTCTAGACAAGACATGGTGTGAACTTCCTCATGTTTGAATTCTAAATTTCAGCAAAGGTAAAGTAATACCAAGTAAACCTGGTAAAAAGATCTCATTATGTTATAGGATGTTAATGTCAATTCTGGAAAGTTGAGCAGAAAGAGAGATGGGAGAGGAGGACACAACTAAAGAAATGGCACTGGTTTCTCCATAAGCGTCCCTAACAGGTTCCTTTCAGATGCTGGTAGCCCTGTGTCTTCACTGCCTCAGGACACAGGGCAGCAAGGTGCCTCACAAGGGCTGTCCATAAGGTGTCCAGTCCAAGAGTCTGAAACATTTTTGGTGCAACTTTGAAGCCCTGTTGACCAGAACGTGTATCGAGGATTGCAAGGCTGTGTACATAGGGGCTCATCCAAGCCCTGGTCAATCCACAATGTCCTTCAGCTGCAGACACTCATATACCTTAACCATAACTACATTAAACACTATTCATCGGGCAACAAGAGCTGTTCTGCCCAAGTGAAAGGCAGATATCTTCCTTTCTGGATGTTTGTCAGTGGCCGCCTCGTAGTCAGGCACCCATCTGCAGCACAGAAGCAGCTCCTAATTTAATATGGTGGTTAAGGAGAATAATTTCTGATTCCAGCTCTTTACAAGCAGCAGCATAACATGACTCCCTGCCACCAGTCTGCTTCCATTTTCACCCCTGTAGTTTCTTTCTTTCCCTCATTTACATACTTTCCTAATTTGTCTTTTGTCCTAAGTATTTAAATTACATGTCGACTCTTTGTATTCTCTGAGTGGATAAATTAAACCATTATCAACAGGAGGGGCTTATCTCCTCCTTTGTTCCACCTGGAGTTTGCTAATACATCCATTACCTTTATATCACAGAAAACAATTAACAGAGGTGTTTGTTGATAAACGAATCAGTTTATCTCAATTGGATGCTTGTATCTCACAGCCTGCAGCTCGCTCTGCACACCTCAGGTCCAGAGTCCTGCAGCAGCTCCAATATCCTTTAGGATGAATGCAAAAGATATTCCCATAAGATATTTCATTTCAGAGATTATTCTTGGTTGGAAAGGGTCTCTCACTTTCACTGTTGATTTTTCTCTAAATATTAACAACAAAAGCCTAAAAAGAGCATGGAAGTACACGGACAAAAGAGATCTGATTCATAGCTTTGTCTAATTTACACCTCCAGTATATTTGGTGAGAAACAGTGCAGTTCACAGCTCTCTCTGGCATGTGATATAGCTATGATTAACATTTCTAAGTACAGTAATAACGTGGAGGAGGATGATAATAATGGTGGCCACTTATTCCCACCTAATAAAAAGTGCAGGGAAAGGAACTGGCTGTAGCAGGATGAACCATGTGCTAGATTTATTCCTCTCTCAGAGGAAAAATAGGTCAATATTCTATTATAGTCCAAATATTATTAACTTTCTTTCCCTATATATTTTGGTATTTCATTGAAAAGCCCAGTGAAAATCAAAATCAATCTTTGGAAAAACGACTATCTCAGCTGTAATTTTAAAAGTTTCCTTAATCTATATTTTCCTTTTTGCTTTTCACCAGGGTCCCTTGCATGCGTGCACTTCGTTTTCTCAACAGAAAGTAAAAGAGAAAACAAAAGCTGAGGAGGCATTCAAGTACTGTGGAGATGTGGCACTGAGGGACATGGTGAGTGGGCATGGTGGGGGTGGGTTGGGGCTGGACTGGGTGAGCTTAGAGGTCTTTCCAACTGTTGTGATTCAAAATGGGAGAAAACAAAGTGGATCCTGGTGCTTGTGGTTGTTTTCATTGCAAAGAAAATAGCATCTTTCTTAAAACAAAATATGCATTGTTGTTATTTATTGCAATATATAAATTTATTGCTTTTTTGAAAAGAGCCACTCTGGAAATATGTGTCCTTGCTGCAGTTGTGCTGGGAGTTGTATATTCCATCATTTCAGTAGGTGTCTCAGCCCTTTCTTTGGGACAAGAAAGGAAAACATCAAAGTGCCAGCACGAAACAGTATTTTGTGGGTAGAGCAAAGCTTGTAATAGGTAGCCTCATCTATTCAACCAGATCTGCTATAAATGTCTTCTCCATTTATTGTCATTGCTGTAACTCAGAGTGCTCACTGCTTTATGCCACTTCTCTGACAGAAGAGGAACTGCAGCAAAGGAGAGAAATTTCTTCCATCTGCGGCCAAGGTTAAGGCAACCTGTAGGAAAGAATGAAAACGACGCAGAGAAATGAGCACCTCATTTCAGCAAGGGCCAAACTGCTGTCTGCAACATTTTGGATGACTCAGCGTGTTTCCTGGTTTTATTTATTTCTGTTTTTCGTTGCAAGAGGTGTTTGTGTCAAAACTAAAGCTTGAGGAGCTGAGCCTATTAGTACATGACATGTCTTTCTCTGTCACGCCCAAAGCCGCAGCCATGATTTCCCTCTCACTGGCTCTGGGATGAAGCAGGTGTAGGGGTGTTGAGGTGGTCTGGCACTGGAAATGCTGGCGGGAAGCTGAGCTGAGAGGAAACCCATTCCTTATGGGCTGTTACACAAACTGGGAGCTCTACAGAAACCCACCAGAGAGACTAAGGGTTGGGAATAATTAGCACACATCAAAAAATCCATAAGAAACACAGCTACTTTTTGACAGAAGGGCTGAATTTTGCAGCTATTGGTCAGTGCAGTGAATGGAAGGGAAATGAATATCAGTGCAAACGTTGACTCAATCCAGAGAGCTGCTCTTCTTTCTCCAGCAGGCGTGTGGAAATCTATTGCTCCTCACTGAAAAATAAAGCTGGGGATGCATTATTAAAAAGCAGGACAAGCAATGTGTTAACCCCTTCATTTCAGAGCAGAACTTCCAGGATGAAGCATACTAATTGTTTCACTGATATGTGATATTAGCTATCAGGGTCAAGTGTTTGAAAGAAGTCTCACAGTCTACTACAGAGGCAATTTGTTATAAGCAAGAAATGGAGGCAAGAGGGAAGAGAGAAATGGAGCAGCTGGAATAGATGGCAGAAAGAGAGATGGAGGAGGAAATGAAATGGAAAAACACAAAAAACATGTTGGCTAGAGAAAACAAGGAGAAAAGCATGAACATGGGTTCTTTAGAAATGTTCTTGCTGACAAGAACCTGGAATTTTTATTTACCATCACTTCATTCTTCTAAAGTATCTGCTATTTACAGTATATTGCATTCTCAATATTTCCTACAATTTTCCTCCTGAGGAGGCTCCATTCCCTGCCCTTCCCCCAGCTGTGTGGGACAAGAGCCACAGCATCCAGAGTTTAAAAAAAAGGGAATGATAACTCTGATCCATAACAGATCTCACCAATGATATACAAAATTTGAAAGGCATATTTTCATGTTTTTGTGGTTTTTTTTCCACCCTGTCAGTCATCTTCCCTTTGAGTTCCTTGAGGGAGGTTAAATGGGAACACCAGGTAGCTGGCCAGCAATGTCTGGAAGTGGCTAGTGCAGAAATAGTGGGAGCCTCTGCACCTTTACCCTTTATGGAGTTCATTGTTAGATTGTGGATATGTTTAAGTGAGAAGGTAGAGCCACGGTGATTCCTATGCACTGTGAAGGAAGCCTGCAGAGATGTCTCTGCTGCCTTGGTGCACGATTAGGAATGATATGAATGCATACAGGCTGCAGCTTGATTGGCCAAGATGGAAGTGATATTCATGAAACAATCAGAGCATTTTGCTAATGCACAAAGAGTGACACATGATCCCAATTGAGTGAGAATGCTCAGATCTGCCCATTTGTGGGTAAAAGTATGAAGATATCCCCCATGTCACTGGGGTGGAAAGAGTTAAAGAGCACCAATCAATCTGCAATCAAGCAGCTGAGGCATAATTAGCCAGACTGATTAGGCCATAAAGGTTGTGGCAAGCCAGAGTTTGGGTTTTCCTAGAGGGAAGACTGCAGAACTCCTGAGCTGAGGGCAGCTCAGCTTCTGGGGTGAGTAGTTCAGAGCATTGAGCTTTGTGTCTGTCCTCTGTAGCTGTGGTGAAGCTGCTCTGTAGTCCTTGGGTTGAGGCTTGGTCTGTATTTATTTGTGTATTTGAGATTCCCTATACAGGTTTCTTTGTAGCTGTTCTTTAACTGGGCTTTTTGTGATCTTCTGAGTGCTGCTGGGATACTTGGTATAAAGACCTGAAAGCTGAGGAGCAACAGTTTTGAGCGCCTAGAGTTGCAGAAGAGCTGGATGCTCTGCTGAGAATCCTGGTAGTTCATCCCCATTGCAATTCATGGCCTGCTTTTCCTCTGGTGCAGTGCTGGCAATGGATGAGGGCTGGGGCACCACACAAAGGTCCTCATCTTTCTTTTCTAGCGCTCACCAGGGAAGTGTTTGAGGGCACTTATAGGAAGAAAGAAGGAAGGAAGGAAGTTTTTGGAGTCTATTGCTGAAAAACAAATCAGTGTGTTTCTCCTGTGAGACAAAGAGAATGCAGTGTACAAATACAACTCGGTTTCTGGCTTCTAAAAAAGAGGTGAGGGAATAATAAAAGAAAAATAAATAAAGGAAAATGCAAATATTTAGAAAGCTCCAGGCTTGCGGTACATTTTGCTGTTTCCTCGTCTCTAAAAGCCCTGTGCACCTTCAAACATTCCTGACTGCGGTGGATATATGAAATAAGTGCCCAATTTGGGCTTGCATAGCCTAGCCATACCGTAAACAAGCAGTGCTGCCTGGAATCATTGGCCAGACAGCTGGCAATCCCTGCAGATTTTCTAACATCAACTCTGCTCTTGGAGAGGAGGCTGAGCCCTGCTCCGTGAACCATCCCCTTTGCATAGGGCTGGAGGCAGGCTGCAAACTGAGCAGGGAGAATAATTCCCCTACAAATTGCTGCAAGTGTTAAAGCTCCAGGGAGCGGATTTAATAGCTGCCTTCCACTCTGCATTGGTTCAGCAGGCTGTGGTTTATGGGCACAGCTGGACGATAGTGAAAGAAGGCAGGAAGGGGAGGCCCTACTGTGCTTGGATTTGTGGAGAAAAATGAGTGTGCACTTGTTTGGGCTTTGCTTTGTGTGGGTTCATCCCTGTAAGGTTAGATGCCAAAGAATAGTAGTGGGCTGGGAGTGAGGAATGTGGGAATCAGCATCAGCAAAGCGAGGTTTGTGCAGCGTGCTGTGGGATTTGGGTGGCCACGTGGAAGTAGCAGTGAGTTCAGCCTTCTGGGCAGAGAAAAAGAAGTTATGACTTCAAGCTCCTATTTGCCTCAGGTTTCGCATGGTGAAAAGGGGTGTGTGTGGGGGGGGGGAGAGTTGGAAGTGTGTATAAACGCCAACTCAGCAAAATGAATGGTTCACACAGAAAACCCAAGGCTGGGAGTGAAACTTGACTCACTGAGAGCCTCTTGTGTATTGAGTGCATGTGGTGTAGTGATTGAGGAATATCCCAGCTGCCCCTATCATGACAAAATAAAACAGCGCTTATTGAATATTTAGAGATTGAAATGCCAAAAAGGAGAAAAAGTTGCCCTCTGAAGATGTGGTGAAGTGGAAGCTGGAGATTGAAATAGCTCTTCAGGGAGGTAATGAGGCAGACAGTGATGATGCAGATCTGGGGAGGAAGGACCTCAGCATCCTCTGACTGCTTCTGTTACAGGTGTGGAAATGCTTATCTGACCTGGCAGGCTTTGTGTAGGAAATACAAAGCTCTTCTTGAGGTTCCCAGGGTTTGTTTCTATTTTTTTTTTTCCCCACTAGCGGCAGGATTGCTCTCCAAATTTCAAAGCTGGTGAGCAAGGGCTGCCAGGGTTTGCTTTTCCCTGAAAGGACTCCTCATGCGTCCAGCCTAGGACACGTGCTCTGGGAAAAGAGCAATGTGTTTCTGCTGTGTCTGGTGACAGGCTCCTGTTAGTGGTTGTGTCCCTTCACTTCTGCCAAATTCGCTCTCTCAAAAGGGTAGAACTTTGTTCTTTGCTTCCTGAGCTATGTAACCTCTCCAGTTTCAAATCTTTTTACTGCTCAGCTGCTGTTGACTGTTAAAAACTGGTCAGAAGCTGGAAATCTCTTGGACAAAGGGAAGTTTTAGGAACATGCTGAAGTTCAGGGTAGCTCAGGTCAGATGGGGAGAAGTAAATTCTGCCTATTAGCAAGTCAGTCTGCTTCTACGTGACTGCAGCCAGTCACTGAGGGATCTCTTGCATCCCTGCTCATCATAAGTGAAGGATGGTGGGGCAGAGATGAAGGATGGGGGAGGTTTTTGTATCCCATAGTGACCTGAGTGACCTGTCATGAATGTAAGAGTGGTGGTTGCAGTGTGCCAATGCAGCATGAAATTGTTGGAAAACACAGTCCAAACCGCATACAGCTGCAGTGAACAGAAGCCAGAAAGTTTTTCAGATTGCAAAAATATCTGTATTTTCCTAAAACCAGGGTACCCCACGGCTGGGTGTGCAGGGATGTGGGTGACAATGGGTAGTGTTGGAGTTACTGTCCAAGAAAAGAATAGATGTGGTCAGTGGACATGGTGGGATGGGTTGGTGGCTGGACTGGGTGATCTTAGGGTCTTTTCCAACGTGAATGAGTCTATGAGCGGTGTTTGGGACTCGCTGTCTCGCTGCCACCTGCAGAGTGGGGGGTTCCCGTGGGTCCCCTATGGGACTCTGTCCCTCCGAAAGGGCTCGGCGTGTTCTTTCCGTTCGATGCTCTGCCTGCTCTCCGGCCCCGCCCCGAGAGGCGATGCTGTGAATGCAGTGCCCTCTAAAGGGGAACCTCGGACTGAGAGCGGGGCTGTAGGAAGCTCTTGTGACAGGAGAAAATTTCAAGAAATCTATCTGCCTGCAAGCGTTTATTAAAATTGCAAGAGGTCGGAGTCCTTGTGAGGATGCGCAGTGCCGGGCATCCCCTGCAGCATCCACAGCGGAGTCTAGTCCTGTGTAAGGGCTGGGCAGAGTTCTCTTAGTACTGCTGATCTGAGATGCCCTTATTTCACAAGCTCTGATGGAATGGTTTTAACTGTTTTGCTGTCGAACACCCTCCCGAGCTAAATGGAGCAAATCAAAGCGAATATTCCTGACACATTAATGAGCAAACACATTAGGAGCTCCGAAAATGAAATGCCTCCACGTCACATAAATTCATTTCACAGTGTTTATATATTTATGGAAATGTCTTTGAATTATGCTCCCAGCTCTGGCAGAGATGATTTCTTCCATTACGAAGCAGGTTATGTGGTGATAACTTCTAGACCCCGATGAGCTACTGGAGCATGTAATTATCTTGTTCCACTTATTAATGATGAAAGGTCCGTGCGAGTCCCAGAGAAGCTGTATGTACTGAGCTGAGTAGTTTAAAGAGGCTGTGTAAATTTAATTTGGTCTCAAATTTAGTTGCTGACTTGAAATAATCTTCAAATAAGGAATGCAAATGTTTTGGGGCGTTTAAAACTTTTCGAAATCACAAATGGGTATGGAGTACTGAGAAACTAAACTGATACAAATGAGGATTCAGGCTTTTAATTTAGGAGTAATCCTCTTGGTGGTGGAAGATGAATCAAAACGAGTTTCATTTTGGCAATCTGGGGAGGTGGCCAATTCATATCTTCTGGGCAGGAGGTCTGCCAACCTCTGTCCCCCAGCTTTCCTAAAATGGCATCACTGCGTTTATGTCTCCTCACTATAATCCTGCTTCTCCAGGCTGCCATCATAATACTAATTGGTTCTGTATGTAAATAAACTATTGTTGACAGGACACTTTCGGTGATTCACATATGACTCATGGAGAGAGAGGGTTTAAAAATGACTTATCCATAAACAGAGATTCCATATGTTCTAATCTGGCATGGATTTCTTGCCTTCTCTTTATAGCAAGGAATGTGTGTATGCCTATGTAGCAGGGTTATAATGTGACAATTGGTCTCGAAGTGAAACCAGGATTTATGGTACTTATTGGAGACCACAGAGGTAAAGTGAGCAGCAGTCTGCATTTAATCATCTGAATTTTCAAGTATTTCTTTTTCTTGGGTAAATGTAAGGCCTGATCCTGAGGCCTTCACCAATGTGATGCTATTCCAACCTCAGTAGAGGAGCCGTGCTTGTATAAATTGTGTTACTAGTCTCCTGTGTTCTTAAGAAGCAAATGTGCACTCTTCAGTGCTTGAAAGCTTACTGGGGATATGGAGATTATGTTGAAGCTGCATTTCTGTGCTTTTTATTTTTCCCCATGACTCGGCTGCGTCATATATCCTCTTAGCAACACTATTCATTCTTCCTGTCTCTTCCTTTGGCCTCTTGTTTCTCTCCAGGTGCTCTTGGCTTTGGCACAGGGTCACTCGTGTTACTCACTTTAAATCAAAATTAGATTCCTCAAAACTGCTGGGATTTTGATTAAAAGAGCTGAGAATTGTGGGTTTTCCATAAAATGCCTGGAAAATGGCAGCAGGGATTACCTGAGCACACAGAAGGCAGATTAAAAAGTCACAAACCAGTGGCAGGTGGTGTTTGTGCCATCATAATTTGCACAAGACAGTGCTGCACATGTGAGCCATAAAATGGGATGAAAGGAAGTGCTGCTGGCAATGGGTTGTGTTGATTAAACTAGAACAAAAATCTGAGTTTGGTGAATGTGAGGGCAAGGCTGGCACCTGCAGATAAAAAGGGCTGTCTGCTTATTCATGACAAAGACATCAGCTGCTCTGCCAGCAGAGATGGAGCCCGTTGCTGTGTCTTCAGATGGAGCTCTCTGGGCTAGGAGCAGTTGAACTGTTGTGCTACAAGCACTGGGCCAGGCTCCTGTCCATTGGCAGAGCTGTTGGGAAAGGTAATTCTGGCTTTGCTTTCTCTTTCCACATGGATTTGCAGTGATGTTCGTTCTTCAGGCTGTGTAGGGAAAATGAACGAAGGCACCATATTGGCCTCAGCTGAAGGAGGATCCCTGGCCTTGGCTGCTCTTGTCTTCATCACATTTCTTGGCTCAGAGCCTGACTCTGAAGTCCCAAGGGTGGCAGTGGTGGTGCTGGCCAGGTTCATCAGTGAGCCCTTTAGGGAGCAGCCTTTACCTGCTCCCAGAAAGATACTTTGCAGCTGCTGCTCCTTCTCCTGATGCGTGAAGGTGAGAGCATCCCTTAGCAGACCCATGTCAGCATTCAGGCAAGCATCTACAAATGTGCATCAGCAAAAGATAAATGATTGTGTCAAATTCTGACCAGTTTCTAGAAAAGAACTTTGAGTGAAACAATTTTTTTTTTTTTTTTTTTTTTTTTTTTTTTTTTTTTTTTTTCCATATGATGAGTATTACATTATTATCCTGGTCGTGTGAAACTCTCATGCAGATTTAATCTCTCTGTCTTCTGATATGGAAGATTTCAGAAGGATGGAAGGGGAAGATCTGTCTCCCCTGTTAATCATAAAATAGAGTCATAGAACAGCTTGGGTTGGAAGAGACCTCAGGAATCACCATGCTTCCAATTCATTCTTTTCTTAGTTTTGTACAGCATCCCCAATGGATTTGATAACAATAAAATAAGAAAAAATCAACAGATATTTCCTAAAGCTGTCTCCCACGTCCTGAGTCTTATGATTGCAGTTCTCTCCATTGTGAGGCTTCTGGCTCCTTTGCTCCTGATTTTGTCACGTGTGGGCATTTGCTATGAAAGACAGTAGGTAGTTAGAGAGTGTTTGAACTCTGGTGGCAAAGGAAGGAAATGTGATGGGAAATTTGAAATGTGGGACATGGACAATTAATAGAAGGATTATTCAGTTGTTTTACGTGCTGTTGCTTACTGCTTGGAAGCTGAAGGGAAGAGCTGGGTGTGTGGTTGCTGAGAGGTGAGTAATGTGTTTACTGAGCAGCAATCTGCTGTCTTCCAGCACATCTCAGCTACTTGCACTTGCTGGTTGTAGCCACAGAAAGAACTTGAGGTTAGAGTGCACTTGAACCCTTTAAACACAAAGGAAGATCGTGCCTCATCTCTTTAAACAAATTATTTAATAAGCAATATCCTCAGAACAGGTTGCACAAAATAGCTATTTGGGTCAGACAAAGAATTCCAAACCAAAACTCACTCCTTCTCAGGGCCTAGGGGTTAGCTGGGAAGCACAAACTCAAACCTGTTTTTTGGGACAGTTTGAAGAACCTGTGATAGATGTCCTAGAGATATTTTGTCCGACACATGAGCTTAGAGCTGCCCATAGGGCTCACTGTGTGCTGAATAGAAATAGCAGGATTGCTGCCCAGGCTGATTGATTAATCAGTTACAATCTTTTTTTGGTAGAAATGCTGTTAGAATCCAGTGTATGTTTCTGGGAGATATCTCAGTGTGGGCCCCAATGTCCAAGTGAAAACATGACTTGCAGGTGCAGCTCAGAGCTTGGATGACCTCCATTTGTTAGCAGGTGGCTGTGGTTGCTGCTTAACTTCACATCCATTGGAGTGAATGGGTAAAGGTTACCATTTACAGTGATGGTTATGGGTTCCACTGGTGGAATCAAGATGATAATTCTTACTGGAGCATCAAGCCTACAGATACACAGCAGCTTTGTTGTCTTGTTCAGTGCATGAATTGTCAGGTTCTGGGAAGGTGGAGTGTCCTTCATGGCAGGTAGAAGAAATTCCATCTGTTCAACAGTGGTGTAGGTGAGTGCTGATGTGGGAGTAGGTGAGAAGGCTGAGAGGGAAATCACTGAGATGAGTGATGAAATAGCAACTTATTGAAATTCTGTTGTCTTCAAAGGGGCAAGGAAGTTGTATGGTCTATTAGGGCACACATTTCCCACTGCCCTACAAATTCTTCAGGAA